AGACACTCTTGTGGGACACGGTTGCGGGACACTCTTGTGGGACACTCCTGTAGGACACTCTTGTGGGACACTCTTGTGGGACACTCTTGTGGGACACTCTTAGGGGACACTCTTGTGGGACACTCTTGTGGCAAGACTCTTGTGGGACACTCTTGTAGGAAACTCTTGTGGGACACTCTTGTGGGACACTCTTGTGGGACACTCATTCGGGACACTCTTGTGGGACACTCTTGTGGGACACTCTTGTAGGACACTCTTGTGGGACACTCTTGTGGGACACTCTTGTGGGACACTCTTGTGGGACACTCTTGTAGGGCACTCTTCGTACGAGACTTCCTCCAAAAGTCACACGTCAAGTCTTCAAAACGAGCGTTTCGTACGAGACGTCCTCCAAAAGTCACACGTCAAGTCTCCAACACGAGCGTTTCGTACGAGACTTCCTCCAAAGCCACACGTCAAGTCTCCAAAACGAGCGTTTCGTACGAGACTTCCTCAAAAACTCACACGTCAAAGTCTGCAAAACGTGCGTTTCGTACGAGACTTCCTCCAAAAGTCAAGCGCAAACACCCATCGGAGCACACGCGTCACGCAGTCCTGCCCAGCAGTTTGGCGATTCCAGCCCCTCCAAACAACACCCGCTCACACGCCAATCCCAATGTGACAGCGATATCCACCTCTACCAGACTCACAACCTCACGATTCCTTGCGCCTGCCACGCATCTTTCCTCGTCCACACACGTCTAACGCGAACAAAGTGCTGCGCCTGCCACGAAATGTGATCTCCGTCACACCTCGCAACCTCGATTCCCTGCGCCTGCCACGAAAATGGAACTTCCACATCTCAAAGCCCGCACAAAGAACTGCGCCTGCCACGAAAAGTGACAATATCATCTCATGTGAGCTTCAACAAAATGTGCACCACACCACACGTTTGGAATGATTTCGACCCGTGCTGAGCACACTCCCATCCACCAAAATCGCCATTTCACCTGAGACTTGTCACGAAAACAGAGCTTCGATGAAATCCCAATGGCACGGCCACATCCAACACCCCAAAAACATCCCTCTCCTAACGCTAATCCCAATGGAACTGCGCAGCAAACTGCGGATCTCACAAACCACTGCGCCTGTGCAGCGAAATGCATCACGTTTCTTGCGCGACATGTCATTTTCAAGCAAATCACAATGTAATAGCGGCGCAAACTGACACGTGACACATCCATGAAAAGTCACTTGCAAAAGCTTCCCCCAATGGCAGCGCCTTAGCGCTCTACTGCGGACGGTTGCGGACGGTTGCGGACGTAGAAACAACTGGTCGCGAACAAGGCTCTACCCCCGGACCCCCAGAGTTAAACGAGAACCCTTCGCTACGCATTCGGGAAAAACTTTGTAAGCTGAGTAAAATCACTAAAACTTTGTCCAAACCTGTCTGTGAAAAATACAAAACTTTGGTTAAACCTTCGTCAAAATTTTGTAAAAGCCCAAAACCTTGTAAACTTTATAAAACCAAAAGGTTGTAAAGACCGTGTCTAAACTTTGTAAACATGGTAGGCATCCAAACCTTTGTAAAAACTTTGTACGAACTTTGTAAAATTCCAAAACTGTTTGTCAAACTTTGTAAACTTTGAATCAAAAACTTTGGACAAACTTTGTCAATACTTTGAAAACTTTGGTTTGTATCATAGTGGCGAATTTAGCAAAGCCACTACGCAAGAGAAGAAAGACAAGAATCGAAAGAAGGAAGTGTCAGGAGCAGATGGTGTAGACCTGCGGAAAATGTTCAAGAAGAACTGATTTTGTGAGCGATGAACTGATTGCAATTGTGAAAGCGGGTGCCATCTGGAGCTTGGGTTTTGGGACTATTAAGGGTGAAAAGAAGGGAGAAGTGGTAGAAGTGTGTTTCTTTTGTTTTGGTTGTTCACGTGTTTTTAGACCTCGCCACGGAAACGCCGAAACACTTCTTTCACAACTTGCAGACAACCGTGGTGCAAAACACTCAAGCAACTCAACAACGAGTGATCATGGGAAACATGTACAGTGTATACAATGAAACAGTACAAGATTCCATGGACAAAGGCATTGAAATGTGGGATTCTCCTGAGACACATGCATGTGGTCCAATTCCGTGATATATGTACAATCCATCCGTATATATATATATATACATAGTGGTTTGAGACAGTAGAACTCACAAACCCAAAGATGTTCTTTATATGGGGGTCCACATCAACCACCTTTTTGGGGATTGTGCCATCTACTCTGAAACCACTGTAGATCCAACCAGATCAGAAGATAGGAAGGCACCTCCCGAGGTCACAAAACCTCCGGAGGTCCCACCGGAATCACTTGGTCAGGCGAACGTTTTCTATAATCCCCGTCTTCTGCATCTCCCGCTCAACCATTCGTTGGTCCTCTGCCGAACTGAGCTGAACCCTTCGGTTCGTTGAACCCTTCGTGTCGGCGGCAGGCGCACTGCCCAGGGCTTCCGATTTTTCCAGGACTTGGAAGCCTGGGGTTCCCGAGAGGTGCGGCCAAACACCGATGGTCAGTTCGTTTTGAGGGACGGTGTTGCTAGGACAGGGGTCATGGTGCAATTAGTGCCTTTTCGGGGGAAGAAGAGGACATATGTTGTTTTGATGATGGCGGTGTAGTTGCAATGTGCATGCTTTGAATAGTAGAGCATGAAGATATTGTTATGTTGCACAAAGGATGTGGGTCTAAACTGTAACTGGGAGAGCATTGCCCCCGGATGTCCTTAGAGCCTTAGTGGAGATGGTAAGTTGCTGATGGATTGTGGGCCTTTTTGCCGAATTTACTTTTGACTCTAAGTCTCAAAGAGAACAGCTCCGACCAAGGAGGCGTCACGCAATTTGACCATCAAGTTGACTTGGATTCTCTGATGATGGTGGAAATCCCTGAAAATGTCACTGCAATTCTTGGAGGAGCCTTTCTCGGGATGCAGACTGTTAGGCAAAATGGACCATCTCCCACTCAGAGACGCACTAGATGGGGGTTCAGCCGTTCAGCCTTCCTTAGAGCTGCCGTTGGCCCACGCCGTTCTTTCTAAACATCCTCCGGAGAACAAAAAGGGATGCAACTTCAGTCCGTTTCGGTCGAACTCGTTTCTGGCCTTCCACGAACTGCTCGAGCCGATCTCCACGCGAAACACCGTCCGTGAGGTTATAGTAGATGACGTACGCTCCCGAAAACAAACAATGAAACCTGAAGACATGGACCTGACTGGATACCAACCCATGTGGTTTTCAGAAGGTTTTCATATGTTTTCAGAATTGAGATTTCTTCCCATGACCCACAAACTGAAACTGGGCCCCTGGGCGTGGGCCCACCCGAGTGAGCCGACACGCCCGAGACCCGGTGGTTTTCCACAGGCCGCCCCACTGGCTGAGACCCTGTTTGGCCCGGACCGCCCGCCCGGACATTTTCTCTTTCTTTTTTTTCCGCGCGAAGAAGAGCGAGGCGCAACTGGTAACATGGTCTGGATTTTTGGGCAATTGAATGTTCGGGCTAACTGGTAACGGAGGTGAACAACCCCTACATTTAAAAAAAACAATAGTTAAATGTACGCGAATCTAGCAGCCAACTATCAATCTTTTGGAGAAATGATGTGAGTTGACCCCCAAATTTGGTTGATTTACCAACGAATTCCATTGTAGCCAAAACCTGTGAAGTTTCTTTTTTGAAGGATATAACATAGCCGTTCGTCCTTTTGACATACCAGTATTTGATGTGCAAGTCACAGGAAGCGTTTCAGAAATGTTGCACTCCGACGGATGAACACGGAAGTGGAGTTCACCACCTGTTTGGTCTTCGGATTTCGTCATCAGATCTCGTGGCCATGCCATCCGGCTGATGGGAGTTTGATTGGTACTTTCCAGCAACATCACGAAGCCAATGGATCCCGTGTGACGATGGTCAGACCTACTGCCATGTTCGATGATCAGATCCAAAGAAGGGGCCGCAAGGGAGGGCAGTTCGACGCTGTGTGAAAGGGGACAGGCAAAGGGAACAGGAGAGCCTCACCAAAGCTGATCCCTTGGGTTGGCGAAGAAGCACTTGTGCTTGGTGGTCTCTTCCACTTGCTCAGTCTTCATCTCGTGTGTTTAGAAGTCGGGAGAGTCTGACCTCGCACTGGAATTTGATGGTATAACTAATTTCAACACATTTCAACTATAGTCCACCCCAATTGGTCCACCCATTAGGACGTGGGCTCCAAAAACCACGTCCTCCGCCTTGAAAAAAAACACGCACCGTCCTCCAGTCCGCAGGATTCGGCTCTCACCCGACTCATTGGGACGGTGGTGGGCGAGGTGGGCGACGTCAGACGTCTGTGTTTCTGGAGCAGTAGACCAGTCAAACCACCAGTCGACCATGGAGAAGCTGGAGAATTCGGGAGTTTCTGAGAAAGCTCAAAACCATCGACATGAATCCATGGATCTTGGATCTTGGAAACGACGTCCAGAATCGACATGAAACGACGTTTCTGAGAAACAAGACGAACCCCCATCGAACTCCACCTTTCCTGCACGACGTTGATGGCGATTCTCGTTGTAAGTCAAGATCAAGATCCCTTCCCATGACTTGAAGATCCAGGGTCACTCATGTTTCTAGGCCCATGCCGCAGAAAGGCTGATTTATTTTAAGTTGACCCAACGAATTCTGACATGTCCACCATGGCACACAAGGAATGAATGTCCAAATATGTCCAAACCACTAAATCCCATGGATTCCATGTTTTTACCATGGATCCCCTGGACAGAGACTCTCCTCCAACCCCTCTCTTTCGTCTTCCGATGCTTCCGCTCTTCCCCGGAGCTCGATCTCCCAGCCACGGAGAGGTATTCCCGAGCCACGGGGGCTTTTTGGACGTGGCCGTCTACAACGCCACGGGCCTCTCGCAGACGAAGGGCGTCAGGCGGACGGTGACGGTGACGGTGAGCACGGTGACGGTGACGCCGCCGATCGGCCACTGGGAAAAGCGGGACAAACCGTCGGTCCCATGGAGGCCCTGATCTCCCGTGTCACGGTTTCGGAGGAACGACTCGAACGAAGCGGTGGAAACTGGAGGCAACTGGAAACACATTTGATGGGTGTTTGATGGTGGTTTGTGTGACGAACTTTCAGGTCGGTATTCAATGCCGGGGCGGCGGCTCAAGCCCAGTTGGTCTTGATTCCAGCGCTTCTGACAAGAAGTCTTAGAGCACTTCATGGACGAGGTCGGACTGCTTTGCACCTGGCTGCTTGTCTATGGATCAGCAGCCTGGTTCTTGAACACTCCCAGTCTCCAAGAGGCCTATGCCAATTGTCTGCCCTTTTTCGGGCTGGATCACCGCCTACAGCGAAAAGTGTGGCAGCACCGGCAGAAGTTCACACCCACCTGGATTGTGGTCTTTCTCAAAACCTTTGAGGTTTACAATTTGATCTATTTGTTGCTGCGGCTTTGCTTCCCGGCTGGGTGGTCCACGCCTATGTCGCAAGACTGGCAGCTCTGTCCGAACCTTTTGGGGCTGATCTTCATCCGATGGTCCTGCCAGCCAGCCGCGCAAGCGCCGCAAGCCTGCTTGTGGATACAAAGACTCAACTCGAGCTTTTCAGTCTTTTATTCACTCATGTGTCAAGTCCACTACCCCCACGAGCTCCAGCATGGTCTCTCCCTCATTTGCCTGGCAGTACATCTCTTCATTGGCGATCCCTGGTTTGGCCTCGCCCTACGAGTTGCGATGATGCCTTTGGGTGTAGGGCTGCGGATGGGCGGATGGATGAGGGGCTCCAAGGAGCAGTCCTTGGAGGTTATACTCTTCTTGATGAATGAAGCGATGTCTTGCTTTTTCTTCCTATTGATGCTCAGTTCTCCATTTAGCCGAATTGTGTCCTGCCTATACAATTTTGCTGTTTTTCCCCCGAGAGCGCCTGAGCGAAGGGTTCTTCTTTTAAAAAAACGAGTGCACGATGCATATCATCACAACTTATATACATCCGCATATTCCACACCAGCACATCTTGACATCTTTACATCTCACATCTTGACATCCGTACATATCCAGACATGCACATCTTCACATTGCACATCTCCCTCTCTCTCGCTCTCTGCCTCTCTCTCTCTCTCTCTCTCTTTCTCTTTCTGTTTGACTCTCTCGCTGTCTCTCTCTCTCTCTCTTTTTGCTATAATATTGTCTTTCTTTCTTAGAACAAGGTGGTGCCGACAAGTCACCACGAAACGCAACCCTCTCGCACGAAATGAGTGTCAAGCGTCAAAAACTGTGGTGATTTTGATTTGCGCGGCAAACCTCCGCACGAAATGATGGTCGAGTGTCAACAACTTAGTATAGGGCGGCAACCCTGTCACACGAAATGAGGGGTCAAGTGTCAAAAACTGAGGGAATGATAAGGCTTGATTGTTGGACTCTGAAATGTAGAACCTTTGCATCTATATAATACTGGATAAGCAGTACATGTCATAAAAACTCTAAGGAAAGGCTTGGGCAATTTGATTTGGACATATTTGGACCATGCAAACAGGAATCATAGAGGTTTAGGATTTGATAGGATTTGCATTCTGTATAAACCCAGGGGAAGGTAAGCTGGGATGTTGAGGCTATGTGAGTGTTGGAGCACGCATTGTGTATAAACGCCTTTTGGATGTATGTAAAGCTGAGGTAATCTTGGAGACACACTTTATTTAAAAAAAAACAACAAAACAAACGCTGCTGTTTTGAACCGCTCTGCCACATCGGGAAGTTCAGGAACATGATGGAAATCGAAGATGAATTAAATAGCATGTTTTGAACCGCTCTGCCACATCGGGAAGTTCAGGAACATGATGGAAATCGAAGATGAATTAAATAGCATCAAACATAGATCTAGTTACGTAACAACATGTTTGTTGAAACAAAACTACCAAAAAGAAATACTTACAAAACAAGAATCCCAAAGGTAAAGGAACCAAGTAGTATAAATCCGATGCCGAAGAAGCAGAAGCTTCCATGGACAAAATGCGGGTCCCAGACCTGAATTAACACGGCAATTTATAGAGGCTTCTTGGGTGATCAGTGTTGGTGGGTGCTGGCTTCACTGCTCGGCTAGTGAGGGGAGAGTGGGGAAGATAGGTTGTAATATTTTGGTGGATGCTGGCTTGACATTTGGGCTAGTGAGGGGAGATGGTCGGTTGGCTTCCTTGCTTGTTTCCTAAGCTGATAGGTGATTGCCACCCAAGCTGGAAAGATTCGGCTGGAGGAGTGAAACAAAGTCACAATTTCTGGTAGTTTGATGCTGTTCTTTGCTTGCTAGGGTATGCAAAGATCTGTGGCTGTCATCAAAAGAGAGAATCACTGTTGGGACGCCGCTTGTGAAGGTGATTGAACATGGAGCTTCATAAACGCTGGGGCATGCATTCTGTATAGGGCCATTTCTTAAGCTACTGAATCTTCAGAAGGTTGGAACATGTATTTTAAATAAATCCGTGATTTGTTGGCCCATACCTATGTATATATGCTTCTTGTTGTTTAAGTCTGTAACGGCTTACATATACAAACACATGGTTGTCCTGTGGTTTCCTTAACACACAATTCTATAGTGAGCTTTTCCTACACCCTATATACATCTCATAACCATAGAGCCTATACAAAATGCGTTACCACAGACCATAGGGACAGTCAAGGGGTATAGGGAATGTTGCGATTTTCATGTTTCCGCAGCAGCCCTGTGGCACGAAATGAGTGTCAAGTGTCGAAGACATTCAAAGACTGCAAGAATACTTCGATTTTGATATGCCCGCGGCAATATTGCATGCAATTTGTCAATATGTGCTATGAAGTGTGAAACATCTTTGGGGCAAAGCCTGTTTCCACCCTTTTTGCTGGAGCAATGCCCACAAACCTGCTGCATGAACATGAACTAGAAGTCTTCTTTGGGGAATGACCAGGAAGCGCATTGTACTGCAAAAACGTGAGCAAAACCTAAACATCGCCTTGGCGACATCTTTGGGGCAGGGCCTGAACCCACACGTTCTTCTGCCATGTGAAACTGCTTAAACATCGCCTTGAAAACATCTTTGGGGCAGGACCTGAATCCAAACATATTTCTGCAAAAACGCGCACAAACCTGCATGAACATCGACTGGACGACATCTTTGCTTCCCTCCTCCTGTGAACATCCTTTTCATCTCATCCTGTTCTCACCCTCTCTTTCATTTTCACACTCAATTTCCTGCACTGACATCGCAATGCAGCTATACCTCACACCACAGTAACTCTACACCCAAACGCTCTCGGGCCATTAGTGTAGTCTTAAGTATGGTACTCGTTCGAAAGGGTCACGTTTTTCATTTCTCAGCTTCGGGTGAGTGAGGATTTTAAAGTATTTGGAGTTCTTGTTGGGCCAGCTCCAGAAGACAGCCACAGATTTAGAAGAGCAGATGGAGCGGAGGGAACAAGACACCCGAGAGACCCAGGAGACGCTATTGGCAGCTCGACGTCTGTTGTCCGTGACCTGCGACTGCTGTGAGCAGCTCACGGAGACGTGGGAGATTTTGGAGCCATCACAGAGCATCTTGGCCTTGCTGCAAATCCGGAATCCAGAGGAAGACTTGCCCACGAAGATGGACGCCAGATCACCGACCTTGCCATTACTACCCTTCATTTGGAAAGAAGATCAGGAGAGGTTTGCCCTATTCTTGGCTTGCAGCTCTCAAGCTCCATCCTCACTCCACCTTCGCATGAAGACTTGTCATGGCCATTCCTTTGAGGCACAACTCTTTCATGTGGACGTGCCAGGAGGTCTCATTGGCACTACAAGACACCTCATTGGGATGAGTCGACTAGAGGGTGAGATGCACCGCATCCCTGAGCATTGCCCCTTGGTCGCTTCTCCTTTCCTGGAACGCAGCAGCTTCGCTGCTTCCGACTCCCGCAGCCAAAGCCACTCGCACTCGTCCCGCGAGCGACGCGTGCGCCGCGGCGACGGGCGCGACTCTTCGAGTGGCAGGAGCTTCGAGCAGTCGCCGGTTCGGCCAGAGCAGCGGCCTGGCGAGACCTGGCGTGCCGCAGACGTGGATCGGTTCCTCAAGCAGATCGACTACATCTCCTTGCAGCTTCACGAGCCGTGTACCACCGGGGGCTTTCCCGTGCGCAGCGTGCAGCTGATTTTTCGTGACCCACCTCGAGCCATGGACCTGAAGAACTGGGTGGCCCGGAAGTCCCGGAGGCACCTGGAGCAAGTCCTCCAAGGCTTCGGTCCTTCGTCACGAGCGACGGAGTTCCGCGTGCCGGGCCTACCCAAGATGCGCTTCGAGGCACAAGAGCTCCAGATCCATCATCCATGCCGCTCGGCAGAATTGACGGGTCCGCTTTCAATAACGCTCGACATAAAGAGTTTGAAGTTTCTCTAGCTGCCAAACGGGCAGTTCGCAGAAATCGAGCATCCCTTGGAAAAAAACAACTCGGTGTCGGGGAAGGCCAGGACTCGACCCTCCTGGGACCTCTCACTTCTAAAGATCCAGAGCAGAGAGATGACCTTGGCCCTTTGGAAGATTTTTGTTAATCTACAAAACCAAGGTGTTCCTTTTTCACTTCCATGTTGGTTTTCGGGTTTGCCATAGATTCTGAAGCCCTTAGCGCAGAATCAGCAGCTGGCATGCCGTGGGAGCAGTGGCGCAGACATGACCACTCCCTCTTTGTCGGGAAAAAAAAAAACAGGCCAGTTGTTCCCCTTGAGCGACAGAAAACGATTAGCCAAGCCCACGGCGTGGGCAGATTTGGTGGGTGTCGCCGACTGACGTGCTGGTCTGACCACTCCCGAATGTGACCAAGTGGTCTCCCAGTGCCCAAGTGCTTGGGACATGTTTTTCAACCGCCTTGGAATCGCAAGACACACAGAACAACTCGACCTTTCAGACACTCCATAAAATGATTCATGAGCAATGACATAGACCTCTACTCTTCATGGAAACTCTTCCGTCGAGTGGTGACCGGATCGACTGGACACCTATGACATCTATCCAGTCGAGTCATTTTGGTGTCGCAGCTCGCAGGAAGCTCTCCTTGCGCTTGGTTTGGCCGGGCATTCTGACCGATGCCGACCGAGCTTTACGCGCCACCGGGCAGCGCATCGGATGGTTTTGCGGGAGGAGACAGGAGGAGACAGGTACTTCGGATCCCATCAGGTCGGAGCCCAACTTCTTTAATGTCACCGCTCCAAGAAACGAACCTGAATGGAGACCCTCTACAAGGACCAGTTTCCTCTACAAGACCAATGTGTTTCAAGGTTCTATTGTCAATAGCTTCAATAACTGCAGGCCTGCAAAAGATCCTGTGAGGCGACAACGAAGACTGGAACTGTGATTTCTGATGTTAGAATATCTTAGAAACTCTTAGAACATATCTTAGAACGACCATTGACTGGTTATTGTATTGTTCAGCTGTAAGCCTTCTTTGCCCAGTACAGCCAGCAGGCCGCATGACTGCTGACATGTGACGACTGCTTGACGTCTGCCGCATCGAGGTGAGAGATCTCCTGGTGAATCGCTTGGTCACCGCCTCGGCAGAGGGCGGGGCCCTGGCCGAGTTGGAGGCGGGGCCCCCACGGTTGACCGGTCGACGCAGATGATCCGAGCGCGCCCTCGATGATCTGCAAAATCGATGAATTGGTCCAACGAACACGGTCCAACAAACACGCCCAAAGGAGCAAAACCAACACATTATTAATTATATAAGCGTATATAACTTAACCACACTTGGGATCCCTTTGGGTGGTGCTGGTATAGATCGGGATATGTAGAGATGTTTTCCACTTCATTCGAGGTCACCGCTTGTCTCCAGCTACCGGACCCACGACATAGCCAAGTGGTCCGTTCCGATGAAGCTTTGGATGACTGATTTGAGGAAGGAAGGCAAAAAGGCATCACAATCGTCTCACCCCGCTGGATAGACAGAGATGACGCTCCAAAGAAACAATTTTTGCGTGATACATGCCCACATATGCCACTCACTGAGCAACTACTGGCACCGCTACTATCTGTAGAGATGTTTGACACCTCTCAATATGGTCACCGTTGGTCTGCCATTTGTTTGGTCTACGAACCGGTCTGCGCCGCTGTCGCCCAGGCGGAGCTGAAAAAGTCCAACGCCTCCAATGGGCGGCTCGGCGGTTTCTTGGGAGCTTTGGTTGGAAGTTCGGGGCACTGGGAGAGCATTGTGTGTGTGTTTGTGTTTTGTTGTGCTTTCTTTTTCCAAGTAAGTATCGAAGCACGGGATACTATCTCATTTGACTCTGAGTTAATGCGTTTGTGTGGCTTGTTTTGCGGAGGAACATGTGTGTGTAATTTATGTATCTTTGGCCAAACCAGACCATGGACAACTCCGACTTTGTTGGGATTTTCATCATTTTAGAGTATCACGAAATCACCAACAACCAGTGTGCTAGAGTAGATAGTCAAGACCACTTCCTCAAAAGATGCCATGTATAATAGCAAACTATGCATACTTATTGCATGTTCTTGCAACTAGTGGTTGGAAGCGATGTGAAAACTACACCTGGAGGCAAAGGTCCATCCACCGTTGTGCAGATGGGTTCTCAAAATTCGCTCACCCAAGGGTCCAAATGTGAAAGGACCGTTGAGAATCCGATTGACCATCATGTGGGACTCTATAGACAACTTGGATGGTGTTTAACCTGATTTGGAACTGTGTAAAGCAGACCAAAAGCACACTTCTTCTCATGTGCAGACACGTTCTTGCATGGAAGCAACACCAAGTGTGGGCCTGGTTGATTTACGCCCGAAAGTACGAAAGAATCCGTACGAGTTCTTTCTGGGAGTGCCTTTGCCACCAACCCGGCTCTCCCTTCGGCATCGCCCCATCCCTTCGGTCGAGATGGCATAGCTTCATGGGTGACGCGGCCTACAGCAGCCGTGCAGTGGTGCGGATGCCGCTGTGCGACCGCGTCCGGGGCTCTGTGCTGTTTCAGGGGTGCTCTAGAAGTGTTTTCTGTTGGAAAGCAGGGGTTGATGGTTAGTTGTTATGTGGTGATTTCATACCTTTGGAGGGGGAACTCAGAAAGAGCGGCTCATAAAGCCTGAGATCCATATTCCAGTTTTGGGTCTAAAGTCTTAAAGATCTTAAAGTCCGTCCTGCTGTCCTGGCTGTAGGGTCTAGTCTACTGACTCCTACATTTGCCCACCCACTCAATGCACGGTTACTTGGATCCTCATCTTGAAATGCACTCAGTTTCATTAAGGAAACCTCTCCTGTTCCGCTGCCCTTCAGCAAATGGTGTTTGGAATGCTCGGCTTGTAGAGCATGGAACACGTTTGAAACATGCTCAAGCACCTCGCCTGTTTTATCTTTTCGTCGCCCCTCCCTCTTTGTCACAGTTGCTGGGATGTTTATTTCGTCAGTCAGCATCTCACCACGTTCAACTGCGTGTGGATATGCACATGTTGAAGACTTGTCTTGGCATATCCAATCCGTTGAAGCATGAGGATGCTCACTAGGTGTCAAATGGGAACTTATCAGGTGGATTAATGGGAGCCCTGAATGGTCATTGATTTTTTCGTTGTTTCAAATGGTCCACTTGCTTCGCCCAAAGAGGACGCAACACCCACCTTCTCTGACCCCTTGAGCCGAGACAGTGGGCTCAGGTGGCGCCTTTACCTTTAAGAGGCCCAGAGAAGAGACCTTTTAATCCCGCCTGGAGACCTAGTCTGGTGGGTTTTCTCTCCGGATAGGCAGGTTGGAAAGATGAACTGATTTTTGTGGGTGGCGAATGTCTTCATGATTATCCACTTCGGGATGTGAAGTGGACTCATTCAATTCAGATTGGCTGCATTGAACATCTTTGAACACAGCCCATCTTCCTAGGTTCTCTTTCAGATTATTTGAAAAAAGGCTACGACTCCTCACCCCCCACCCAGGTGGGAGTCCTGCGATACAGTTTTTCCGGCGAGAAGATGACGGTCGAGTGGCTCTGCAAGGAGGCCGGGCTCCGGTCACGAACAAGAGGGAGAAAAACCCATGGGTGGAGGAGTTTGAGCACCTTCAAGTTTCTTGATCTCAGTGTGTGCTTTGTTCAGGTTTCAAACCTTCATGTTTTCTTAAGGCCGGTTTGGTTAGGCCTTTAAAAGAATGTCAGAAGGTTATGATTCAACTTAATTGTTTGATACTTGTTTGTTGTTTTCTTTTTCAGATGTGTTTGCAGTCGTAGGGTTGTGTGCAACCCTGGATCCCTCATGGATATGTTCTTTCTATTCTTGAACCTCAGACCTCAGTAGACCACCACTTATGTGTTTGATTTTCTGGAAAACACCATGACTATCATGACTCAACTCATCCTGGACTCGTCAGACATTTCTGAAGCCGGGCCGTTTCAGAGACCGTCCGCTCCACCAGCTCGACTCCGGCCGGGTCGTGGGATTCCCAGCAGGCCGACCTGGAGTCCGCCGAGTGGATGAAGATCGGCTGCCTCCGCCAGGAGGGCGAGGTCAGAGGGGGGGGGGGAAAGCGGGTTCGGTGGAGCACAGCGGTGGAGCGGTTCTTTGCGTTTGGGATCTCCTCTCCGCACTTTCAATGGAAAGAATTCTGGAAGAAAAATGGCATCTCCTCTCCATCATGTCACTGCCTCTCACGTGGTCAGCTGGAAATTCTCGACCTCAAACCAGAGGGACCCCAAAATACACGGCCACCCAGTCCACGAGACTGCAGCCCCGTGAGGTGCAGCTCTCTGATTGGCGCATGCCAGCCTACCACGGACCGCAGCACGGGTGCCCAGACCAGAGATCGAGGCCTGGGGTGTGGGTTCACATTCCGGGCATCGCATGGGCATCGCGTCTGGACTTTTTGTAAAGGCCTGCTTATGCTTTCATGACTGTTCCTGGGTTTGGCAGATAAATATGAATATGAACCATCACTAAACAGTGTTCCTCCAGTCCAAACACCCTTCCTTACGATGTGTTTAAGCATCTTTATTGGGGCACTTGCCTAGTGCATCCTACTCTACTAGTAGACTCAAAGTTTTGGTGGGTCTGTCATTTGTGCTGTTTTGTCCCGCTCTATGCCCAGGCTGCCCTTTATCACATAGGTTTTGAGGTTTGCCACTTGCTCAGATCCGACCGAAGCAGTTTGCAACAAATCAAGACACTGTTTCAATCCTTTGGTGCGGCCAGACTGAAACATACCTCTGTTCACAGCTTCCATGTTCAGCGAAGTGAATTCCAACATTTCCCATACCTCCCTGCCTATAATCATCCTATATCCGCCTACCATTTGAGGGCTAAAATTTCGACACCTACCATCCGCCGCCCGGAGATGTTGAGCTCCCGAGGCTGCTCCCTTTGAGCGCCACAAGGACCGGGCGAGTGAAGGCTGAGCCGGGTGACGAAACGATGGACCATGT